AAATAATTAGCTTTCTATAAATCACGTGAACTACCTGAAAATAAGCACCTCTATAGTAAAAAAGGTGTGCTTATTTTCGGTAAAATACGGTATTTAAATAACTAAAATTTAGATTATTAAAATTGATAAAATTATTAAAATTTTTAAATTTATCAAATTCTAATATAATAATAAAAAATAAAAAATATTGTTATACTTTAATTTTAGAATTTAATTTAAAAACAAAAAATTTTTAAAATAAAGAAATTATATTAAAAAAACTAATTATAAAAAAAAATTTTTATAAAGTTATTAAATTTAGCAAAAAAATAATTTAAAGAATAATAGAAAAAAATAAAAAAAATCTAAAAAAAATTTACAAATAAAAATTTATTTTAAATTATCTTAATATTCTTTTCACAATTAGGAAATAAACATATACCAGTTGCAGTATATAAACGCCTTGATAAAAAGCATTAAGATCTCATTATCACATTCTGAATATATCTTAGCTCGAACTTCTATGTCTATTATTTTGTTATCTTATATTTAAATTTTGAAATTGGAATTTAACTAAATTGAAATGTTATACAGAAGTTGACCAATATGATGTTTGATTAGATAGTAAATTTCACAACACTTTAATGTAGATCAGTTAATTGTTTAGGCTCATTAAAGACCATACCATCTCTATATACTGTAAGTCATTATCGTTGATTTAATGACCGAGTAATTGATGGATATATCAACATAATTAATTATAGATGATTTCACTTTTTAAAATTTTAAATTTTCCGCAGAAAGTAAGATTACTATTCATCAATCGAAATAATAATAATTTACTGTATAATTAAATTGAGCTCAATAAAAGAAAAGACATCATGTTTCTTTTAAATAAAATCATTAACTGAAAAAAGCGGACTTTGACCAATAATAATTCGTTCGATATATTTATTTTTTTGTTTCTCCAAAGATCGATTTCTGCTTAACCAATTTAATTTCATATGGAAAATCAATGGTTTGTGCTAAAAGTTGATTACCAAAATAAATCAATAGTTATTCATTTTTACTCCAATATCAAATTCAAAGTAATTTAAATATAGACATTAATACCATTCTTTTTTTTTTTTTTTTGAAATGATAATGAAAATATTATTGTTATGTCGCATTACCAAAGAGGTATGATCATCAAATTTTCTTAATTATGCGTAAACAATTTATTACAGGGATAAATTTAGGCTTTTATTTTTTTTATGGTAAAAAATTTTTCAGTATTATAGATATAAAATAACATTATTTAATTATCAAAATTATGAATAATTAAATATTTCGATATTAATATTGATACTTTTTTTGTTGTTTTATCTGTTGTAAAGAATATTTCGATTGTGGATTGACTTTGTTAAATAATTGAGAAGTAGAATAAATCCTAAAAAATATAAATATTAAAATAAAAAAAATAATAATGTATATTGTTATACCTCGATGTATTCTCTTTAAAAGAATTCGTTTTGTATCTATAAAATTTAAAATAAATTATATGTATTTGATTAATATAAATCTTTCATGTGTCATTAATTGGTTATTTTTAATAATATTGTTTTCTTGATAAGGTTCCTTAAAATTTTAAAAAAAATCGTATATTTGTTTGTTTATTTTCAAAAAAAAAAATGGCAGATATTTTAATTACATCTTTATTCTTTAAGTTTTCGTAATAAAGGAAATATATTTGCAAATTTTGTAAGAAAATTGTAGAGTAATAGATGGGGAAACGTATCGTTTTACCTTTGAACAGGAATGAAATTAAAATGCTGAGAGATGAGGACTTCCTAATGGACAGCATTTGCTCCCGTGATGAACTTCATAGGATTACAAGAATATTTCTTTAACGGAATGTTGAGACCATTAGGTTATTGCGGCAAATGAACAATTATGCTGCGGTAATTAAAAATTAAGTTAGAGTCTGTACTACCTGAGGAATCCAAGTGTTGACTAATAATGACAAATGACATCATCATCATCGTTGAACAATGAAGTGATTTTCCTTGGTGAAAATGAATTCCGTAAATAATGTAAATAATGTTGTGCGATAACACTACGAAAATTGTGTTCCATGTAAAATGAGAAAGATTTTCTGATATTATACATATTATAAACGACTATACAGATACACGTAAATAAAAGATAATCATCCGTTAAAAAGATCATGACAATAATAACGCATCAAATCATAATATGTATGCATTACGAAATTGCCAACGATTAATTATTACTCGAAGAGGCATCTTAAATAACATAAATATATTTACATTTGACTCTCAAAAGATTATCAAGGGATATTGAAATAGTTTCACAAATAATACTTTCGCGAGATTGGTTAGTTTTACATGTATTGAAGTAATGCACACGTAATAAAGTTTCGGAACTACCAAGTTTTTATGGAATCTATGCGATGTTCTTTGATTAAAACTGGAAAATACAAGTATAGTACAATCGTTGATATTGTTCCACTATCATGAAATGCTCGAACGATCCAACTAAGAATGGGAAACGCAACAAACATTATCAATTCATTGGTTCAGCAAATTACCAGAAACGATTAAGAACAAGATTCTTGACAAAGAATTTTGTTATCAGGTTTCATATTATGCATTTACGCGAATTCGTGGAAAAGGTGTTCCGATAGACGTGATTTCAAAATTTTAAGAAGAATTATCTTGTTTTGTACTTTTTGAATTGATAAAGATTCAAAAGCCATTTCACCTTATCAAGAACTTTTAGTTAACCAATAACGCCTTCTCATGCATTCCTTAAAGTACATATCTTTTAATAACCTTGCAACGAAATATGGGAAGTTGTAAATAAAATATATATGCTGTATCATATTCGGAGATTATTTACAACATGTATCAAGATAAGTAATTTTATTTATTCGGAATTCGATTTTGTGCTAAATATATTAATCGCGTATTTTTTTTTTTTTTTTTATCAAGTAAAAAAAAAAAACAATAGATGTGGCGCGGAACTAACAAGCCGATTATGAAATAAACAACTCCTATATATTTATTAAATAGTAACACCCTATCCGGAGATTCTGATTTTTATAACAAGGAAATTATATGTATACATGAAACACATCGTTTATCGTGGCTATTCCAAAATCGGGGACCAAAAAAGATCATCCATTTCCGATAAGTGAAACCCTATGTTGTTGTGTGACAACAAAAGGATTGTCGTAATTAAAGTTTCATTAAAAAAAACGGTTTACTTTATGATACTTTTGATTCAAATTGATCTCGCTAAGCCACCGCCACTTTTGGAAATGCTTCGACTAAAAAGTGGCCGGAATACGATCAAAGTCTAACGTTCAAATTCAACATTCGAATCAAAAATATGAAAACCGATTGACGAACCTTTACCTTTCCCCACAGAAAACTTTAATGTTTTTTCCAATTCACAATCTTTACACCGGTAAGTCATGTCGTCCTTTCGGATGATGAAGACACCAATAACTATAAAGAATGCTAACTTTTGATATTGTTTCTCTCTTTTAATTCAAATCTTTATTGGGAAATAAATTGGATTATCTAAGATTTTTCATTTGAACAGCTAATTTTAGAGCCACAGTGACTGTAAATGAATAATAATGTGCCACATAGTTTAATTATAGTTCTCGCATATTAGAAAATTTTAAATTGTCTATAACAAACATGACAATTTTCTTGTGTAGCTTGACGTCGGAGTTATGAAATCGACGTCATCCTTCCAATGCTTAGACTACTTTGTGTATAATGACTGCGGTAATTCGTGACACAAAACACGAGCCTTGCTGCGTAATCACAAGCCCAAATACTCGCCACATTTTTTATATAAAAGGGGTACAAGTTTACCAAGTTTCAAAATATACACAAAAAAGAGAAAAAAATTTCATCAAGCTTTTTTTTTTTCTCTTCTCTTTTTTTTTTACTAAAAAAAAAATTCATCCCTCGTAACATTTTCACTATTGACCCGTTCGCAAAATCGTGAGCCTCACATCATTATTTTTTACCTTTTAAAAAAAATTTTTTCATCATGAGTCAAGGAAAGCGTACAATAGAGGTCCTTTCTGATAACGAACTTAGTTGCATTGATAGGCAGGCACAATCTAATATGAATTCTGGCATAAATAAGATAAAGAAGCCCGCCAAGAAAAGAGGAAGAATTAATGTTAATGCTTGTCATCGTTGTAGACGTGATAAGAAGAAATGCGACGGAAATCACTCCACAAAGGAACCTTGTAAGTATTGTCGTCACCATAAGGTGGAATGTACATACCCAGAACCAGGAAGGAAGAGAGTAAAGTTAATTCAACCCAACGTTGAAGACAAGAATATCAAAGAGATAAAAAAAATTAAGAAGTTGGATATCAGAAAATCCTCAATGGATGAATTGTGCGAGCGCATGATTAAAGTTGAAGAAAATTTAGTTGACATGACTGAACTTCTGGCTAACGTTCGTCATTCAGCTTCTTTGGATGTTACAGAAATTACACAACAACTTTTCTTTCGTCTTTTAACAAAAGAATCTACCACAATTGAACAAACGATTCTTTTACGTAGGTTATGGTCTTTAATCGAAAAAATAATGAATTGCCCCACATCAAATGAAGATTATTTTCATGCATTTTATAACAGGTTACAATTACTTGAAAGTGATCAAGAAGAAATTAGATCATTAATGTGGAAAGAGGTTCAAAATTATGTTGACGGGTGCGAAGACACGGGCAGCGCCCGTGAAAGTGAATCATTATTAAATCCAACATCTTCTCCATACGCTGTATTACCTCAAACACAACCCATTTCTCCCGTTCCACCTGAATTTGATATCAATAATGATTTATTTGCTGACTTTTCGTTTGAGGATTTTAAATATTCCACTTTAAATGTTACGCATGAGGATAATCCTTTAATCGCACCAATTGTGCCTTCTCAACATAGTCCAAATTTACAGGTTAAATTTTTAAAGAACAATCAAAATATAGAACAAAAGGATTACCAAGAAGGTGGGAATCCTATGCTTTCACCATCAATATTCCCAAATGAAGTCATTTGGCCAGGAACTACTGATATCATTGATGATAACTTTAACGAAGATCATTTTCTCACTTCACCTAATTTACTACCATATATCGATTCATCCCCATTTTCAACAATTTCATCTCATAATAACACACCAATCGACAAAGAAATGGAATATTTTCAGCATTTAATGAGTGAAGAGACAAATTTCCTACATTTCCAAGAAACGATGACATCACCTTCGTTTTCGAATGAATCACCTAATGAAGTCGAATTTCATTTTAACCAACTTTGAATCCCTTGTGAGAATCTATAGGGACAAAAGGTTCTGTATATAAATATAAAATAAAACAGATTCTCCTAACGATACCGTTAAAAAAAGTTTTTGTGGCATTGTCACGTGACATATGCTGCATGTATATTATGGGGGCTATTTATTTAGACTTTTAAAAATGATAATTTATTTAACTTGATTCTACCCCTCGGTATTTAATAATAAAGTCTTAAATTGTTACATATATTATATATATTTTTTTTTTGTTGTATGCGAATATGAAAAAATAAGTTAGTCATTCGTTCATGTTAAATCCGTTTAAATTATTATATATAAATAACATCACACGAAAACTCTCTTCTTAAGCCTTTTTTTATTTTATTTTTTTTAGTTAATGTTAGAGTAGAGTAATAAATATGCATTTGAACTTTTTATGAATAAGCAATATATATCACGGCATTTTGTTTTTTTTTTGATTGGCACGAAAAATAAATAATTACTTTTTTAAGATTTAAGATATATCTCTTCATTCACCATTTTGGAATGTAGCGTAACTTGTTACACTAAAGTTCTTTGTTTAAAATTCTGACGTTAAATGAGTGAAGATTTTACTCGGAGTTCCTAAATGGCATATAAAAATAAATTTTTTTTTTTTATCAAAACCTGGATTTTCCACGCTTCTGATTATTTTAAATCATTAAATCTGTAAAGTAAAATAGCGACATTTTTGGATATTGTCTGATATCAAACCAAAAAAAAATTAGAATATTCAAATCAATCTTTTCATTAGAAGTTCTTGGGATTCTAAATTATTAATCATCAAATTTAACCGATGGTTACGAGAATGAATTTGCCTTTTTTGAATTTGTTTAGCTTTGTTCAATGCACACAAAGAATAAATCACCAAATAAACGGGAATTTTGATGGCACGAAGAAATCATTTTAGGTTAATCAATAAATTAAAGTGTTATCATTAGATGATATCTAAATGACCTGCTAGTAACAAAGAATTTACTTTTTTGGTAAGAACATACTGCTTATATTCGATTTCATTCCTTTAAATTATCAATAATAAATTATTAATAATTTTTATTTAATATAAACAAAACAAAAACAAAAAAAAATAAATTAAAATATAAAATATAAAAAAAAATTTTAGTCAACATGTGTATCGGAGTTTTTTTTTTTTTACCAACGTACAGCGGGTATATATCGCGCAACTTATTTGAAGTTGTACAAAATGTCCACGTGAGATTTAATTGCCACAGAAGGCTAACGGGAAGGGGTGGCTCATCTCTTGAAACAAGCAAACAAATTAATTTTGTTGTGTCATACGGATTAGTCCGTTGAAAAACTTGGGCTTAAAAATAACGAAATTCTCATGCCTTTTTATACCAAATAAGGTCAATGGCTTGGGGAAATCCAAAGAAATCGTTTTTTAACGTTAACTATCCCTAACATTATTCTCGATTTAAAGAAAAGAGTAAGGCGTGAATTTGTACCAATACACTTAAAATTATGCATCATTGTTAGGACTAAATGGATTACATGCATTGAGTGACACCTATTTTTAGAATGTTTATGTCCCAAATTTGTTGTCCTGTTGATCTGGAATAAACGCTTATTCTAGAAGAATAATGAATTGTCTTTTGGAATCCAATTTTAAGCAAAAGTCAAAATTTCAAGTTCCATGATATGTTACATAATGCATAATTCGTTTCAGAATTCTATATTTCTTAATATTTAGGTTGTTCCAAGTGTAAACATCAATATATATATATATATATATTTCCTTTATTGCCAATTTAAAAAAAAAATGCACTGGAAAAATAATCTGTTCCGATTAAAAATTTGATGCGAAATGTTAATCACCTTATACAACCACGAATCAAAACGTTTCAGTTGCTGATTTCTTAACAATATGTGTCCATATTTTATGTTCTTTTGAAAAAGGCAAAAAAAATAAGCCCCAAAATCGTTTATTTTCATGCTTATGGTTGTGAAGATTAACTAATTTAGTTAGAGTAATCATGCAGATCACACCTCACATTTTGCGGCGAAAAGTACTTTGTTAAAAATAAAAATAACTGGCGATTAAACTCCCTGCGATGCAAAAGATAATTTATTATTCTTTTTGTAGTTAAAATTCCTATTGCAACGTAAAAAGACTATATTGTATTGAATTTATTTATTGTAGTTTGAACAACTATAAGCCATCCATATACTGTATATTATTTGGGCTAAACGAAACGACCAGCTGTATTTAAGGTTCATCTTTAAATTTGAATTAAAATTTCTTTAATAAATTACCAAATGCAATTCAGGTAATGCTGTTGGATTTGAAGTTGACGATTTCTGTTCAGCCATCATCAATCAGTTGCCGGTGTAACGTATTATAAAATAATTTTATCCGACGAATCGTGGTAACTCCTATTGTAATATGCAATTTATCATTTCATTAAAATAATCATAAAATTCTTAAAAATATTATGATCATAAAAAACATTAATTTTTCACGAACCTTTTTTTTTTTTAAAAAAAAACTACTAAAATCATTTCATTACAATTCTTTAATTTAATTTTTTCTAAAAGAAATCCTATTATTTGTTTTAGTAACTAATGAACGGATTAAATATAAGATCAACAAAATATAAAAGAAAGTCGCTTTTGTACAAACCTCGACGATCAAATCCAATGATTAACGTTTCGTTCCTTATTACTTTCCATTAAAAGAATCATTGAACGTTACAATCAATTATTTTTGAAGCAAACCTTTTCAACTTTTGATTTTACATCATTTGGAAATAACCAATTATTGATTATCATGTTAAATGACGAGCGTTTCAACGAATAACTCACAAAATAATGCAGAGCCAATAATCAATTCAATCCATGATTAATATGCAATCTATAGATTACTGCATTGAAATTCAATTTAAATGAAATGAAATAAATTAATTAAATTAATTTTAAAATTTTTTTTTTTTAAAATTAGATGAGATCATGTATGTTTCATTCAACCAATTGATTAAAAAATTTTTTTTTTTACAAAAAAAAAAAAATTAGAATATTGATATAATATAATAACATATTGTTAAATAAATAACATAACTTTGGAACTTATTATATACTTATTGAAACAACTCATTTATATGAAAAATCATTAAAAATCTGAATCTGAAATTTTTTTTCATCTTTATTTTACTAAATTTTGTATTATTTAAACATTTTATAATTGATTATAATTAATTATATTATTATTAATTAATAGTTAAGTTATTATAATATTTAATTAAAGAATTAAAAAAATTGTTATTTTAATAAAATTAAATATCAATTTAAAATTTTATTTTAAAATTAATTAATTCTATTTAAAGTATAAGATACATTTATTATCTTGAATTATTAATATTTTTTAATAAAATAAATATAAATAGTAATTGTTTAAAAAATCTTCAAGTATAAGTTTATGTAATTTTATATAGGTAAGATATAAATTTACATAAATTTTGATAGTATAAGTTTTTTATAAAAATAAATTATTATAATTTTGGTTTTTTAATAATAATATTAACTAAACCATTATATTTTAATTATTATAATTACTTAAATTGTAGGCCATAATACCTTAAGTATCTTGCAAATTTCAAATGGTTAATCTTATACTACTAAATCTATATCATAAATTTTTATTATATAGGAATATTTCTAGTAAAATCAGATTATGGATAATATAATTTTATTGGAAATTTTCCTATATATAAAATATATTAATGACTTTTATAACAAATAAAAATTTGTTTATTATGTAATTTTTGATTAAAATTAGACTTTAATAATAAGAATAATAAAAAATGTAAACTTTTATCAGTTAAAAAAGAGGTTATAATATATAGAGTATTATAACTCATAATATATGTTACTTATATAAATAATATATTAAGCTACATATTTTATAATATTAAAATAATTATTATATATAATTACTATGTAAATAATTTGCTTTTAAAATTATATTAATAATATATAAATTACTATTTATAATTTATAAACTAATTAAAATAATATATAATTTATATGGGTTTAATAAAAATCCTGATACTTAAATTCTGAATGATGAAATTTTGATAATATAAATCCTGAAATGTCTAAATTAAGGTTGCGTCTCAATTCATTTTGGATTTGGTTAAACGTTTAAACCTTTAGTTTTGCTAAATTTTTACTAAGTGTTTGATATAGTTTTGCCATTTTTATAAGCTTTGATATAGTTTTACCTTTTCCTGAATTTTGCAGATTTTTTAATAAGGTTTTAATATAATTTAACCAAGTTTTACCTTTACCATTTAAACGTTTATCTAAACTCTGAATTTCATCCAGCAACTTTAGGCTAAATACTAAAATGTCATAATTTTGAATCCAATAATCCTAATAAAATTATAATTCTGAATTGTCAAAATTCCAAAAAGTTATAATCTTGAATTTTATATTTCTAACATTTCATAATTCTGAATAATAAGTTCTGAAATCTATACAGTCAAACCTTAATATAGCGAACCCTTGATATAGCAAATTTTTAAATCAAATATATTAAAATTACCTTACTATAGTGAACTAGCCAATTAAATACTTTAAAAAATTTATTATAAGCTTATAATAAAGTTGATATTCGGATTCTAGAATTCATTATATCAAGAGTTTACTGTAATACTAAAATAATAAAAATAGATATTAAGTAAGAAGTTGAATAAAGTTTATAAGATAGGTTCTATTATAAAATTAGTATCCTTCAAGCTAATGTGTCACTAAATTAATGATAAAAAAATTTAAGAAAATTGTGATTAATTTTTTTGAAATAATAAAAAATAGTTTTTTATTAAAGTTATATATACAGTGACTTCTATAATTATTGTATCACTTCGTTTGTAATTTTTAGATTGTAATAAATAAAAATTCAATGATCGAACGATTTGCAGATTTAATTAATTATCATCAAGTCTTCTTTTATAATATATTCAAATTCA